GTTCCTCCGAAGCCAGCCCAGAATTGCAACCGGGCTCACGGGAGGAGATGGGGTAACATTCAACAAGCACCCTTTCCCAAAGATTGCTGGAAAAGCTTCCGAGTTCCACCAATCCCTTTCTAAACTAAGGGAAACCCACCAGCCTTCTCTGACCTAAGGAGAAACACAACCAGAACATAGGGAAAACATTCACTGCAGGAAGGGGAAAGGATCTTCATTCTGTGGAGGAAAAAAAGGAAAAACAAAAACCCAACACACATAACCAAAAAAACAAACAAAAACCTCCAACCAAACAACAACAAAACCAACCCAAAAAACCCCACCACATAAAGCCCACCCCAAAGACACCTTCAAATACCAAGATGCAATTTAAGTGCAACAGACTGGATTTTATAATACAGTGCATTGAAGCCTTCCAACCAGGCAAGACTTTGGACTCAGTGTAAGTCAGGAGAGTTCCAGACTATTTTGGATCACTGTTTAAGCAGTGATATATAAAAAGATTCTATCTTTCTATGTTACAGAACGTTCCCTTCAGAAGCACAGCACTTCCAGTTCAGAGGTCACATTTTTCTTAGCAATGCTAGAGTTGAACTAAGATTTTTCCTGTCTAACAGCAGCAGCTACAAAGAGCATGGGGGAGGGAAATATTTGAGCCCTGCTTGATTACAGCTTCTTAGTGACTATGAACAGCAGCAGATTAAATCAGGGTCTTCAGAGCATCTGAAGAAACAACCAAAATTCTTCAACCTCATGCAAAGCAGCCACCTCTCCATCAATTGCCTTCTGCATGAAACCTCCTCCCCTGAGCCATTTCACCCACCACTTTATTCTTTCCATGTTCAGAGTAAAGTTTCCCATGCTGCTTTTCCCCCCCAATTTGGTCGTTTTCCCTAATAACATTATTTACGTAATCTGGAAGTGATGTATAGATGTAGATGCATGTGGCAGAGGAGTATATGCCATGATAAAGAAACCACAAACCAACAAAGGAAAAAAAAAACAGAAAAAAACCCCAAAATGGGATTGTTTTCCCCACTGTAAAGATAGGGAAATGGGGAGAGCCAGAAGAAACTAATTGGTATTGAGCAATTGCAGGGACAAATTTTCAGTTATAGAAGAGTACTGATTGTAGCTAGAGGGGAGGAAACATTGCCATTCCCCTCTCCTTTAAGCAGTTCTCCAGTTATCAAATGGAAAAAGCAACTAAAATATTGTCCTACCTCAGACTCTGGAGTCTGCTCTTGTGGCAGTAAAGGGTGATGGCAGAAATTAAAAAAGACTTCCACTATGTTATGGCTTGTGCTGATCTCTGTAAGGGTGGATGAAATGGGGGGGATTAAAACCCATGATAAACTAGCAGATAAGCTAAACAGGGAATCAGAAATGCAGTTCAGGAGCAGGAAGCATGCACCATAGAACCGTTCAGGTTGGAAAGGACCCTTGAGGTTAGAGAGCCCAACTGGTAACCGAGCACTGCCAGGTCCACACTGAACCATGCCCCCAAGCACCACATCTAACTGATTTTGAAATCCTTCCAGGGATGGTGACTCCACCACCCCCCTGAGAAGCCTCTTCCAGTGGGGTTTTGTTGAATACATTTTTCCTAATATCCAGTCTAAACCTCCCCTGGCACAACTTGAGGCTGTTTGCTCTCATCTTATTGCTTGTTGCTTGGGAGGGGAGACCAACACCCACCTGGCTGGAAAAGCCTCCTTTCAGACAGGTGAATGATCAGGTCTCCTTAAGCCTCCTCCAAGCAGTTCTCAGCTGCCTCTGCAGCTGCTCCTCATAAGACTGATGTTCCATACCCCTCAGCCATCTTAATTTCCCCTTCTCTGGACATGCTCCAGCATCTACCAACGCCAGTAAGAAGGACCCATGTTATTTCCTCTCTGCACATAAACATTTCCCTGACGAAAGGGGTAACTTCAAGGACTAAAACATGAGGATTCACTGTGCTACCTGGAGGCAGTGGTCTGACCTCTCCAGGCATCTGCCACAGGCAGCAGTAAGTGACAATGAGCCATGTTTTGTTGGACAGTTTGGCTTGTCACCTCATAAAGCCGAAACAGAAACAGCTGCAAAGCCTGAGGGGGGCGGAAGAAGAGGAGGAATAACTGTAACTCCAACTGGGTTTTATAGGAGCCGGCTTTGGCATGAGGCGCCTCCGGGCATTGACGCGCCTGGGCCGCGCGGTGGCGGCAGCGGCCCCGCCAGGCCCGGGCCAGGCGCTCCCCGCTCCAGCGGCGCCTTCCCAGCTCTGCAACAGCCGGGACAGCCCGGCTGGTGATGGAAACCGGACACAGCGCAAGCCCAGCTCAGATCAGGAGCAGCATTTCATGCAACAGCCTTGATTGGGAGGGACCTTACAGCTCATCTTGTTCCAAACCCCTGCCATGGACAGGGACACCTTCCATCAGACCAGGTTGTCCAAGTCCCATCCAATCTGACTTTGAACACTTCTGGGATGAGGCAGCCACAACTTCTCTGGGAAACATGTGCCAGTGCCTCACCACACTCACAGTAAAGAGCTTTTTCCTAATATCTAATCTAAACCTACTTTCTATGTGAAGAGCTCCCCCTTGTCCTATAAATCCATGCTCTTAAGTCTCTCTCCATCTTTGCTGTAAGTTCCCTTCAGGTACTGGAAGGTCACAGTTAGGTTACCCCAAAGCCTTCTCTTTCTAGTTCCCTCAGCCTTTCCTTATAGCAGAGGTGCTCCACCCCTCAATTCATCTTGGCATCTTGGTGGCCTCTGGACTGTTTCCAGCAGGTCCATATCCTTCCTATGCTGTGGCCCCAGAGCAGGATGCAGTGTTCCAGCTGGGTCTCACCAGAACAGAGCAGAGGGACAGAATCCCCTCCCTCCCCTGCTGCCCACACTGCTTTTGGTGAAGCCCAGGACACAGCTGATTTTCTGGGTTGCTAGCAGACATTGCTGGCTCATGGCAAGCCTCTCATCCACCAGCACCCTCAAGTCCTTTTCAAAAGATAAACTGACCTATCAGCTAACTTAATTTTAATCACAACTATGCCTGAGGAGGCTTAATGACTGAGTTGACAGAAAATGCTTGCTTTTAGTAATATAATTTTAGAATGGGTACCAGTTAAAGAAGGACCAAGTTAGTGAACTGGCACAGAGTGTCACAAAATCTTCATGAGAACATGAAGTCAAAACAATTGCTCTCTGATTCCCACAGTAGGCAATGCCCTCTTAAAGCATTCCTGCATCTTCTCAGCACAACATTCTCCACTTTTGGCTGCCCTGAGGCAACAGTTTGTGATGAGATACTCTAAAATAGTTTACTTTTCTTAACAGCAAGGGAGGAAATATTAACTTCTACAGAGATTTTTACATAGAGAGTCAGCCTGCCTCTGGAACTAAATTAGGCTGGATTTTGTCTCCAGCACACAGACCACACACTCCTTGATTTGGCACAATGGGACAAAGCCCTGGTTTTTTAGAGGCATGTGAAACCTCTGTCAGAGAGGACCCCTTCAATCTACACTAAAGTTTAGTTAGTCCAGAAAGACCAGACAATGTATATACAGGCCTTAGAATGAGTTGGGACTGTCCTTCAGGATCTAAAAAATGAACAATTTTTGTCTTTTAGTAGCTTAGTATTTGTGTTCCACTTGGGGAACCTGGAATAATTAACTATCCAACTAATAAGGTATTTCAGGATGAAAGGTGGACTTTGACTTCAAATCACAACTTTTATATAGACTGACAGTAGCCCAGAAAACTTAAAACCTGTAAAGAACAATTAGAGATCTTCCATAGTATCACCTCCCTCAGAGAGGAACTCCTCTTCTACAAAAATAAAGTAGAAGTAAAGATGAAGTGAGATTGGGAAATAGGAACCTATTGAATCATTGCAGAACCAAAATCAAATCCAGTATAAAGGCTCATTACAATTTTGTATTTTATTAATCCAAATAAATGCTGCATTTTGGAGTTAGTAATATATTTTAATTTCTTCATTTTATTTGTGAGTTTTCATTTCCTTTAAGGTCCCTTGAGGAATTAAGCTAGAAAACCAACTGTGCTATGAAATCATAGGCAGCTCTACCTCCTGGAATAGTACATGATGTAACACAAAATGACAGACTGGGCTGTGAGCTGAAGACTGTACATTTCTGCAGCTGCTGAAAAAGCTTTCAAGTCAGGACTCATTTTGGAAACAAGCAAAACAAATAGCCAAAAAAACCCTGGTTCAACTGAGCAATCTTCCCCCTCAATGTCCCCCTGTGCAGCTGCCTCAGTGCACAGAAGATGCCCAGCCCAGGAGCAGCCCAGAGGTGCAGGCAGCCCTGCTCTGTGCCCTGCAGGCAGCCTGTCCTGCATTAGAGGGAGGCGCTCCCTGCTCCTCCATCCCTCTGCCCACATCCCCATCCTGTGCAAAGCAGGTGAGGGCTGCACAGCTGGAGCTGTAGGCCACTGCTCTGCAGAGCTCACTCATCCCAATCCTCCTCCAGCCTTTTCAGGGGCAATGGTCCTTAATAAAACTGCTCTGCCTCTGCTGCAAGTCCATTTTGCCATTTTGTTAATGAGGACAAAATCATTTGTTCTCGGGATGGCAAAAGGTCCTTTTTCCTATTCTGCTCAGAAGTCTTGTGCCAGCAGAGGCCAAATTATGTTGTCTGGTTTTAATTTTGTTTCTTTTTCAGACAGAAAGCATAGAAGACATCAGTGTCTTTGTTCCTGATCATATAAAGTTTGTTCCTTCACAGCAATAACTAGACTGGGGTCAACACAAGGAGTCACATGGAGACTTACCAGACTAGGCACTGAGTCTCATTAAGCTTCCTTCTCTCCTCTGAGCACCTCTCTTGGGTCAGAGACATATCCAAGCCTGGGGATGCAACATTTCCAATGCAGTGCAGAACTGCAGGAAATAAAACAAGAAAGTCACAGGCCATTCACCAGCAAAGGACACATCAGGAGTTACTGCTGTGCCAGTTTTTCTTCCCTCCAACCTAAGTGACCCCCAGAGGGCTTTTTAGATTAGTTCCCCAGGCCTTGTGCACTGAGTTAATCTCTATGAGCATGTCAAATGGTTAAACAAAAATTTCCAATTTTTTTTCCTGGCTGCATTATTAGTTCAGCAAGGATTTCATTTATGTCCTTGCTTTGGGATAAAAGAATAAAAGGACTTTTTGAAGAATGTGGAGAAGTAGGGTTTTCTGTGATATGCAACATTTGAAAAAACAGTGTCTCAGCTTTAGAGCTGAGCTTTACAGTAGCTTTTGACTTTGTAGTGTTCATTTTGCCTCACACATTTTAATATACTGTTTATATGTAATTTGACAACTGGTTTTGTTGCCTTATCAGTTTCAATTGTAAATTCAACTTTTATTTGTTGAAATATTTTACATATAGAGGACAAACACTTTTTTATGTATGAAGTAATATAACAAACAAATATTCTACTAAGGGAAAGACAAAAAAATGTAGCAAAAATACAAGTCATAGTAAAATACCAAGGATGGGATAGTGCTACATTTTTTTATAACTGCTAAATAATTAACCTGCATACTTCACAGTATATTAGGCAGATTTTAAGAAATTGTATGTATTGATTGTATGTATTGTATGTATTGATTAGAAGAGCAAAACCAAGTGTTCTGCACAACGTTGTCAGCTTCCAAAAAGCTTTTTTTTAACCTTTTCAATTTAGAAATCTGTGACATTCAACAGACATTTTAAAGATCTACCAAAAAAGCACCTTCTGGTTATTTAATGTGGGGAAGCAATAAATTACAATATTTTGTCACAGGAACTGGCAAGCTCCTTGCTTAGAATTCATGCAAAAACATGTACTTAATTCTGCACCATCTGAACTGTCCTTTGTGTTCTAAATACTAAGCTTTTTTTTCCTGTGAATATATATATATGTTCAGCTGAAGATGATTTCTGTCTTGCCTTCTTCAAGGGTAGAAATTACACCCATTTTTGCTGGGATCTGCTTAACAGTCTCTGTCTTACCTGTCATTTGGCTGGCTTAGGAAATTTGCATCAGCCCCTCACTCTGAGCACTGGTAGACAATTTATCTAATTGCTGTGTGCTTTAGAAGCCTATCAATATATGAAATAAGAAAACTACAATGGAACAGTTCTTGCTCTTTTTGGAACATTTATCCTGTCAACAATAATCAGAGATAATAAGTTCAATTGCAGATGGTTTCTTTTACCTTGCCAAATCTCACTGCCTTCACTTATTGCTCATGCACAATTTCAGCTATGATTGTGATCAGAATTGATTCTGGAGCCTAGGACATCCCAAATCCTACCCTGCAAAGCTCCAGGCTGCATCCCTTGAGAAAAAATGTATTTGAAAGAGAGAGAGGTGCGAAAAGTCTGCACAAGAGATTTCTGCTTGCTGTAAAAACATGTATATTCACCAACAATGTTTGCTTTAATAGTCATATAGAAATAAGGCTCTGTTCATTAAAACACTTCATAGCTGCCAAGTTTTCAAGCAGAATAATCCTCTTATATTTTAGAATTCAACAAGAAGTGTTATTAAACTTGCTTTGACCTCAGCATGATTTGTTTGTCTATGAAGTAACCTTAAGACTTTTAAAATCAACCGTGACAATAACTCAATGAACATAGTAATATACACACTGTGGAAGGACACTACTAGCAAGAGCTTCTGAAATACATATGAGAGGAATTTGGATTCTGAAAATGCACTGAATACAATGTATTCTTGAAAAATATTCCAGTTTCTCATTCCTTTTTTTTTTTTTTTTTTTTGCATCATCTGGAGACTTTTGCAGGAGATGGAGACATGCAAGAGTTGTACTTAACAGCCAGCAGGATATGACACAAAAAAGTGGTTTTTTGCTACTCAAAGTAATTCAGCACCTAGGAGGAGAAAAATCACTTCGTGCAATGCCTTATGAAGTTTTAGAATGCAGAATTTGTGACTCACATACGCTGCCTTCAAACTATGTTCATACAATATTATATAACACTGTGCACGCTCACCTGTCGAACAGAGTTAATTATGAGTCAGGTATCTCTTCACATCATTCATTTCCTTCTCACTTGAGAGCTGACTTTCATTCTTTACTGAAATAACCCCTCTCACAAGACAGTGATTAGTCTGACAAATGGATAGAATAAAATACCTTCAGCCTATTTATGAGTCCTCTAGCATTCATGATAGCTACAGTTAAATGCAATACATTTTTTGGATTCCTCTAATTCCTTTGTGGCAAACAAGGAATGTCTTAAATAAGACAATCCCAGCATATGTTTACCTATTCAGTTTCAGAAACTCCCACATTATCCTTCAATATTTAAAATTCACTTTTAGTACAAAACCCTAAAATATTAGGGGAAAAAAATTCACTAGGAATATGGGGAGGAGAACTTAACACCAGCAGAGTTCTCTCAATAAAAAATAGGGGGAAAGGAAAGCTCCTCTTTCACCTTCTAGTGGGAGGTTATCCAAATATATCCCTTTGATATCAGGGAACAATATTGAGCACCAAAATCATCTCTGCCTCTAATCCAAATGTCCATGGAGTCGAGTTCCTGAGCTTCACTGACTCCATCTGGATCGAAAACATGGCTTTGTTGGATGTGGTTGTTCAAAAAAAATGATTCTCCCCAAGCCTGAGGTCAGTCAAGGTCCTAAGACAGCTCACCTTGCAAGTCCTGTTGTGAGAGCGTTGGGAACAAGGCTCTGCACTCCAGCTTTGGCTGCACTGCCACCCCTGCTGGCTCAGTGTCTAGGCGTCTATGGAACAAACAAACACAGGATGGCTTAGCTCTGAGGACACCAGCTGTCCTCAAACATCACAGTTATGGTGACAGAAAAATAGAAAAGACAAACGAGATTAGTCATCACATGAGATACACTTCTGCAAGTCCTCAAACACAAGATCTTGTGTCATGCTAACAACATTAGGGGATTTCCCCACTTTGTCCCTTAAGGAGATTGCAATTAAAAATTCCCCTCTACCTTCTCTACTAAATAACCTGCTTTTTTATTTTCTTTTAAAGAAATTGTGTTTTCAGCTTTGCCAGTCACTCTGAGTTTGTGGGCTAAGAAAAAAATACTTCTCTTTGTTCAGCCAAGTTATAAGTGTATCACAACTGAACCATGACGTATCAACAGTTTGTATATAACTTGGAAAAAACCAGAATATATCCACTCTCACTACTAAGATTGGTTGAGGAGGTGATTGGCATTTTTTTGAAGGATCAGGTATACTAGGCTAAATTCACAGAAGTCAAACCCCCTAACGATAACAGCAGCAAACTGTTCCCTCAAGTGGGATATGTACTTTTGCTTCTTCTCTCCCTCTGTGGGTTCATGGTTTAGTTACAGAGAGCAAAAATTTGTCTATTACAACAGAAGATGTTGTCACACATTCATGTATTCCTGACCACAACTAAATCCTGGTGAAAAGATCCCTTGTAGTACTGTAAAGACACTTGGGCATAAATTATTAGGCAGTTTACACTTAAATACAGAAAGTCTAGATTTAATACGATGGGAAAATTTTACTTGAACATGATATTGCAGACACAACCCATGGGCTCTGTTTCAATCCCTGAGAATTGCATGAGGGCTTCATGGGGCACCTTGGCACTTGTATGTCTATAGTCACAACATTTCCCCTGTTCCTAAGAATTTATGCTGTGGACAGAGCTGTATATCCTACCAGATATTCCATTTTACCAGAAAGTCTGCATCCCTCCACCAAGAGTCATGGTTTGGCCTCTTGCCCAGTGGAAGAGAGGTGAAAGCAAATACAGTCAGCTCTATAGGCCACAAAGGGAGCAAAAGCAACCCAACTTAAAATAAAGAATGAGAAAGTAGGCCTTCTCACGTCTGTAGAAGAAAATTCTTGAGGCAATTTACTGTCCTTACCAGAGGGGAGAAACTCTGAATGAGCAGTGGGCAGTCAAAGGGGTTGGATATTCCTCTCACAAATACAAGTGTCCACACAGAGCAATGGTAAGGAAAGAAAGCCACACCCTGGCTCTTGTATTCTGCTGCTGTATCTGTGACCACCACTCCCATCAGAAGAGAAATGCCACTAAATGGAAAAAATTTCATCTTTCTGACTTCATAGCCATTATGTTAGAAAGCTAAAGGTGCAGCATACAACTGCTATTCATTTGGAGCCTCAGTCTGTCACTATTACCTTTACTCACTGTGGTGCAGCTTGCAGGCTGTGGTTCACACCACCCTTCATTCACCAGCAGATTTCAGAAGCACTTTGTATTTCACCATGTGTCTTTAGACCTCCATGCCTGTCCTACCTCAACATAAACTTAAAATTCTTCTCTTAGAAACCAGCAGTATCAGAGGTTCACTGTAAGAGAAGTCACAGGAGTCGTGTAAGATTTTCATGTATGGGAGAATACTCCCACTCACATCCTGAAGAATGTGGGGAGGTTCAAACAAAAGGATCTGACCACATGTCTGAGACTAAACCAGCAATGCATATCTTCTTCTACCCACACCCTGCTCCCAAAACTCAATCTGTTACAAAACCAGTTCCTTTCCATCTGCAAAGTTCACTGTTTTATGTTATCAGTCTTGCTCAGAGTCCAACAGAAAAATCAAGAAATGGTTAGTGGCAAAGAGTGGCAAATCTTGAAATAATTTCAGTCCTATACACACAGAGAACACTGTAATTTTTCTGTAGAAACATTTAGGAATACAAATCCCTTCTATTCCACTGACATTGTATCCTTAGACCTTCATCCTCTCTCAGATATTAAATTGTACTGGGCTTCATTCTGTAATGCTGTTGGGTAATGTTTTCAAATGCTATATGCAGGGTTACTGTACTCTGGGAAAGTGCTAGTCAGGAAATTATGTAAGAAATTAGCTTTATTCTGTTACTGCAACTCTGGCAGCCTTCCAGATCTTTATGTCACTGGCTGCATGTGTTTATCAACAAAAAAACCCCAGAGATGATCTTGCCATGACTGTAATTAATTCCAGTAGTCAGGTACAGGATACATTATTTTCAACAATATAAGCCCAAAATTTGAGGTAATCCATAAGAAAATCAACAGTACTTCATATAATTGTAGATGTTTCACCAGTCTTATTTAAAACTGCCTATTTCCTTACATATTGTTTTTTCAAACATGCTTTTAGTTATACCTAAGAACACTTACATTAGCAGGATGAAACCTGTTGATTCCTACTTAAAAATACCAGGTGAATTTAAAATAACTTTGTATTTTTGTATCTCCCCCCACTACCCAAGAAGAACAGTGTGCTTGTTAAAGACCATCATCAGTTGTGATTCTGCTTGTACTCTGGTATGATTTCTTCTCTTTATGAATAAAACTGTTTGCTTTCAAATGCCATTTACCAGTTTCTTCCCTGATGTAACATTGTATATTCTTTGCCAAGAGAAGTGGAGTGGTTTGGGGTGTAACAGGCCACTAGAACTGAGATCTGCACTGGTAGGATTGTTTCTGAATAGTTCTGTTATAAGTCATTGTGAATTTGACAATGGAAAGCACTGCCAAAGCAGGGAAAGCTGTTCAAAACCCCAGATTTCATTCTAGGCATGTTACTAAAATCACAGGCTGCTTCCTGCTTTTTAGATAAAAAACACAAATATTTGCAGGGAGACGGGGAAATAAAACTCATTCACTTTACTTGTTTTTTCACCATCTAGGCTTACACTCAGCCACTTTCCACCTCTGAGACAAAATCCTGCATCATGAACAAGCAAATTCAAAGCCATTCATGTGAAGTTAATTCCATTTGGTCACTCCAATAACACAGAACTACATGAGGAGGTTACAGCTGAGTAGTGCAGTGTGAGACAAACACTCAAAATTCAGCTGAGAAACCAATGAGCCTGTGCCTTGCTGCCACCACTGGTTTTGTTCCACCTCTGCTACCAAAGAACTGGGCACAGCTGTGTGGAAAAACTCTGTGCTGATAGTGGGGCACAGCCTGCTCACCCCTGGCCACTCTTCCACTGGTAAAGCAATGTGCTCTTTGCCACTCTGCTTTCTAACTCAAAACTGCAAAGGAGATACTTGCCAATATGCAGTAAAACAAAGAAAAATGAATAAAATGTCTTCAAAAAGGCCTAATGGAAATGGACAATACAAGAACTCTCAATACTTTGTTATATTGCAAAATAATATCTTGAAAACAAACAAGACCCATTGCATTGATAATTTTAAAAAGAGTTACAATTCTATATTTAGAAAATAAGTCAGACACTGGATTTCACAACCATATGTGGCAAACATTAAAGGGAAAACTGGGTGGGACTGTCCAGGCAATATGGGGCCTTTTTTCTTTTTAAGCTCACCCCAAAGCACTGGTGGGGGCAGAGAAGTTTAACACAACTTCCCTCTGCAACTATGACTAAAGTAAATTTGACTGGCAGTATGCAAAAACTGGCAGTGCTGGAATGATGCTGACAGCACCAGGACTAGCTGGGCAATTCTGAAACAGTCTGCAGTGTTACTGCCCATTTTCAGCTGGTTTGTGAATAAAAAGAATTTTCAGTCTTATTTTTCCAATGTGATTTATGAGATGAATAGAGAGTAGATGGGAGAGCAAGACTTCCCTTGGAAGGGCATGGGAGGATTTTCAGTCAATAAGCAATGCACATTAGCCAAAATTTTACTGCCAACAGTAGAAAATCTGTGAGTATATTGTCTACATAAATAAAAATGAATGGCCTGAAAGAGCATTGTTACTGTTTACTTCTAAATGTGTATGCCAAAAATTGCAAAACTGGTCTTGCTCACAGCCCTGAAAAGAATTACTTCATTATTAGTTCCTTCTTTTTTGAGAAAATATTATACCTAGTGAAAATTCACAAAACTTAAAGAAGCCAGACAGCAGTTTTGCCAAAAGGCATCTGGTCAGGTTGGCACTTACTCTGCCCAAGCCTTTGCACATCCAGAGCAGCACTTCAATATTGATTAATTGTCAGAATGCTCAAATGAGACAAGCAAACAGAAATCTGACAGCCAGATGCTACAAACAGCCCTCTCTTCACACAGATCATGGATTATCCTATCACTGCTTTGCCCCAGTATTTCCAGGCTGAATGGTATAACTTAAGTTGCATGTTTTCAACAAGCATTACAATACACTACATATTTACAGAATTAAGAAAAGGTAAATGAATATAGGGTTGGAAGAAGGAGAAAGAGCAGATCATTCTTTTCTAAGATTAAAAAACATCTTGGGATTTTTATTTGTAAACTATGCCATGCAATTCCTTAATTTCATTTTCATCCCAGTGTTTCCCATATACTTTGTCCTTCACAAGATTTTATTTGCCTCAGGGGAAAACCCAGTATTTCTACTGAACAACCATGACTTGGCAGGAGAGAAAAAAGCATATTTAACTAATTGAACCTGAAAGTTGCATTTACAGACTGAAATAGTGAAATGACCCTAAGAGCAAGTATCGTCCTCTTAAAAAAGACCCAAAATCAGCACTGAGGTATTTGGAGCCACAGCTTGTCCTCTGTCTTCCTTTTCATCACCGTGGAGCACATGGCTCCTTAAAAGGATGTCTGTGCAATCCTTCCCTTCTCCAAGACGAAATACAAGAGGGACTGAGACCTCACAGGCCCCAGCACTGCCTCATCCTCAGGCAAAGAATGAGGACGTGCAGAACTCCCCACAATGCTCCCATGGGAAGATTCCTACTAAAAGAGTCAAGAGAATAAATTGGGGAACAGACCAAAACCTGGCACCCTGGGAAAGAGACTGCAAAGG